CCCAGGAACAAAGAAATCTTTTGGATGATCCAATACATGGACATTCGTCTCACTATATACATGGTCAGTTGTCACAAAGGAACCTGTAGAACATATTGAATAACTGCTATGGACCCTTTTTTTTACAGACTGTGATGACGTGTTTCCACAGTTATAAACATAACCGTAAAGTTTTTCATATTTTCAGTTTTAAAAAAAATAATACACATTCATAATGCTACTTTGTGTTAAATGACCTAATTTCCCTCTTTTTGGAAAAATCACAGTTGTTTTCTTCTGCTATTGGAGCAAATGGAAATACAAGCATTATATTTGATGTTGTCTCCCATTCACCACTATAGGGGTTTACTCAACTACGACGACTGGAACCCTGGAAATGTGAGGGTCCATTCGACTACCTTTGAGACGAATGGAAAAGTATGGAAGTAAAATAATCCCAAATGTTTTTGAAACAAAAAGCCTGTTGAATTGTACTACTTGAAAAAAATATGCATTGCATTAACCCTGCTTGTATTTTAATGCATTGTATTTTTAGGGCTTGCATTTTTATAGGCTGAAATTTAGCATGGTTAAATATTTAAGCTGTGAATATTTCAAATCAAATCATTTCAAACACATTTTCATTAGTAAAATTTCAATAATCCATATTCACCTTTCATATTTCATTTCCCAAATATTCAAACTGATTAAAAATACAACCTAAAATATTCAACAGGCGGTTTTCGGTCCATTTTATTTCGCTTTGCAAATTCGCTTCCACAAATTCAGTGGTTCAAATTCGACAGTAAATTCAACATTGACATCCAGGAGCTGCAGGAAAAGTAGTAGATTACCGAGCATAATCTCCATCTGCTGTTAGTGGACCTCACCAGCAGGGGGTGCAAGCGCGTGTTGTTGACGAAGACCAGAGCAACAGTTAGACTAGAGCAAGCCATTCATTCATAAAAACATATTTACAAAAATGTAAGTGTATTTGTGATTATTATGACGTCTGTTTTATGTGAAATTCAGTGTGTTCACGATTACTTTTCCTGTGTAGCCTACATGCATCTTTCTCTACCATGAACGATAATGTTATTCCCCCGATGCGGATGTACAGATCCAGTGTTACATTTGACACATTTCTCTTGGTTGTTTAGTTGCCTTAACCTTATATTGCAGCGATGTGCTGCATGCAGTACTAGGGTTTGGTTTCCCTCAATATGTCAGGATTCCCCTGCTGGACATATAAAACGCTTAACGTAGCTTAATGGACATAAAAGACCAAACTCGCAGGCTAGCAGATGGACTCAGAATATGAATTTGACGCGCAAAGTTTAATGCTGAGCGTTTCCCAGTGATATACTGGCATATATTTGGTTTGACATTGGACATTCGCACATTTAGGGACCGTCTCTAAAGTTACATACGAAATTGGTATACACGTTTCTAACTTAAATACCATTTGAAAAGAACGACTTACAGTCATAAAACCAACTGTAAAGTGTTCGTGTAGGTGTCAGGCTCAGGCATAATGCGCAATTTTTTCAAATAGATTGAAGTTTGCTATTGAAGTTAGAAACGTTTAGGCCTATAGGACTTGTTACTTTAGAGACGGTCCCTAAATGTGCGAATGTCAACCCAATTTTACATTTAGTCTTTTAGCTGGCACTTTTATCCAAAGCGACTAGTTAAACTAACAATATAGAACAACAATATGAAAGTGCTACTTCCCAGTTTAATCTAATGCAGTACATGTACAATACATACTTTCCAAATAAGGTGCGAGTTTGGTCTTTTATATCACTGTACTGTAGTCCATTAAGCTACGTTAAGCGCTTAAGTCCTGACGGAATTTGGGGAATCTTTGAGTATGATGATGTATTGAGGGAAACAGATTATAATCCCGTTCGCTGATAACATAAGGCTACACAGGGAAAGTAACAATGAATGAAACATAAAAACATTTTTTGTGCCTTTAGATATCATCTTTTCCGCATATATACTGACCCAGATAATCGTCACAAAAAACGTAATGCATGCTGAGTTTTTATGAATGAATGGCTTGCTCTAGTCTAACTGTTGCTCTGGTCTTCTCAACAACACGCGCTTGCACCCCCTGCTGGTGATGTCGACTAACCGCAGATGGAGATTATGCTCGGTAATCTACTGCTTTTCCTGCAGCTCCTGGATGTCAACGTTGAATTTACTGTCGAATTTGAACCACTGAATTTGTGGAAGCGAATTTGCAAAGCGAAATAAAATGGACCGAAAACCGCCTGTTGAATATTATAGTTTGTATTTTTAATCAGTTTGAATATTTTGGAAGTGAAATATGAAAGGTGAATATGGATTATTGAAATTGTACTAATGAAAATGTGTTTGAAATGATTTGATTTGAAATATTCACAGCTTAAATATTCAACCATGCTAAATTTCAGCCTATAAAAATACAAGCCCTAAAAATACAATGCATTAAAATACAAGCAGGGTTAATGCAATGCATATTTTTTTCAAGTAGTACAATTCAACAGGCTTTTTGTTTCAAAAACATTTGGGATTATTTTACTTCCATAGAAAAGTTAATGAACACTAAATAATTTCTGAACGAGTTTTCGCAGTGCAGTTTCTAATGAAAGTTTTTAGGTAGACTAGGAGGAAGCTTTGCATTATAATCCTTAAAGTATGTCTAAATAGTACAAGAAAAACATACCTTTTTTTTCATGATACGACCCTTTCAATTGAAGCGTAGGCCAGAGAACAAATCAAAGGACATGTTAGGGGTTACGGCATCAGTTAGGGGATGTTTATGAGTGCATTCAAGATGGTTTTGCTAGTGTCCTGCCTCGTATTTTTTGTATGTGCCCAACGCAAACAGATTCCATATGTGTGTAGTGCACACAAAGTTCTTCGCTAGAAGTTAAATGACCCCACATTTAGGCAAAGGGAGGAAGACAAGGAAGACAGCATAAAGGCACAAAAGACACCAGCTGTACTATGTAATTATTCCAGACTTGACATTTACGATGTTTGAAAAGATCAACCAAGCACTCAGATTTACATGGCACCATGAAGAGGAAATGACCTAAGGTAAACATCCCAGTCTCAGGAGCTATCACGACCTCTGACCTCTCACGGTTTGCATGACGTGGCCATTTTCCACTATAACAGAGGAAGTATATTGAGCTCTGTGATGTTAAATATCTACTTTATTTTAGGTCTTTCTTTATTGATCTCCACAGAGAAGTTTGACTTGTAGAGCAAGGTTGCCATTATATACACGCTTTAGAAATCTATGCATTTTCCCCAAAGGCATAAATGTAAGTCTTGACACGGATTAGACAGAGTTTTCATACCCTGCTGGGCCACTTCTTCCTTAAATATGTCCTGCAGAGAGGAAGCGGCATGATGACTGATTGATCCTGCTTATTTGATCTAACCTACAGTTGGGGATTCTCAGCAGAAAGCAATATAAATAATTTACTTCACTGTCTATGTATATTATGCTCACCAAGGCTGCATTTATTTGATCAAAAACACAGTAAAAACAGTAATATTGTGAAATAATATAACAATTTCATAGAACGTTTTTCTATTTAAATACTGTATATTTACGTATTTTATTCCTGTGATGGGAAAGCTGAATTTTTAGCTGCTATTACTCCAGTCTTCAGTGTCACATGATCCTTCAGAAATCATTTTAATATGCTGATTTGGTGCACAATAATTTTTCTTCTTCTTCTATTATTTTTCTTATTATTTGTCTTATTATCAATGGCTTATAAATGTTTTATAACTACATATGTTTATACTTATCCATGTGTTTTGCTGTTTTGTTTTGATTTTGAAGTTTGTGGAAAGATAAAAACAAAAACAAACATTTAATCGGAAAACTGCATTCAATTGATCAAAACTAACAGTACTGACATTTATAATATTACAAAAAAATATATATTTTCAAATAAATTATGTTCTTTAAAAAAAAAAATCAGAGAATCCTAAAAAGTATCACGGTTTCCAAAAAAATAATAAAAAAATTAGGCGACATTTTCAACACTGATAATAATAAGAACCATTATTAGTAATTGAGCATCAAATCAGCATATTAGAATGACTTCTAATCTGATCACAAAAAAGCAAGTAAACTTTATATATAATGCTAAATATAATGTATGATAATGCAATGAGTGAATTGCATTACCATTATCAAGTGTCTGTCAGGGTTATGTTTAGTTCTGTTCAGTTTGATTGTGTTTTGGTTTCATTTTCCCTGTTCTTGTTTTGCCTGTGTTCCCGGTCATTGTTAGTTTCCATAGTTAGTTCCACACCTATTCTTAGTTCCGTAAATAACTCCTATTTAAGCCCCTAGTTTTTTCGGTTCAGTTTTTCAATCTTGATTTGGTTTATGTGGTTGTGATTTATTGCCTATGCTTCCTGAGTGTTCTTAAAAAAATTGGGGGCAGATCAGATTCATCATGCCAGTATGGGGATGAAGCTAGTCATAGGTCTGTGCAGAGGACTTGTCTGGTTCTTGTGGTCTTTGCTGAGGATCTGTGCCAATGGCTGTCGTGTCGACGAGGTCGTCACAGCGGATTGTCTAGTTGACAGGATCTCTGCTGACATTCAGGGCTGTGGTTTTTAAGTAACATAATAACTTAGTAGCAACCCTGCTTCGGATTTAAGAGGTTAAGGCTAATTTAAACAACAATCGATTATGGGAATTTATGTAAATTGACATCCATTGGAATATAGCATGTGAGTTGTGTGGACCACTTTGATGGTGCCATTTTGTCTTTTTTTTTTTTTTAGATGAACAATCCCTTCAAACATCATGGGTGGGTTAAAAGCAGATGGGCTGGAGTGTGAGGTCAAATCTAGCGTCATTTCTCAGGTAGAGGGAGGTGCTGACTGAGTGGATACATGTTGGTTCATATGAGTGTGTGTTTGTGTGAATGACAGACAGACAGACAGACAGACAGACAGACAGAGACAGCATAAAAGAGAGATGGTAGAGACTTTACCTTCTTGTGAGGAACAGTTGTCTGGGTCATGGCCAGCTCGAAGCTGTGTGCTCCCGTCAGCTGTGTTTTCTCCCAGAGTTTCCTCAGCTGCTGTACACACTCGTCCTGACAGCACAACGCCTCGCTCACTTTACTCTGCACATAGACAAGATACACTGCTAGCTTGCCAAGATTCACTCCACTCATAATTAGAGGCAAGCATTACATTTGCTGCTGCTTATGGTAAGATAAGATAAACCTCTAAGCCAAAGTATTAAACATCTACATATGTAACTTGTCCCACACCAAGAACACCCTAGAATCCATCATAACATCCATCATAAAATGTCATAATCATTTGTTAACAAGTATTCATTACTTCAATGAGCTCATTGTTTCTGCATTCAATTATTACATTGTTTAAATTAATACCTTTTTCGCTAACTGTGATTTCGTATATGTACATGTCTGAAATACATAACTTAGACAGTTACCTCTGAAAACAGATCACTCTAAATTGTAATGTGGACTCATGCATTTTCTGTAAAGCTGTTTCGAAATTATGTGTATTGTGAAAAGCGCTATACAAATAAATGTGAATTGAATTGAATAACCCTCAACCAACTGCCTAGTAGAAACCACCTAGAACACAACCGCACAGCAACACCCTGGTAAACAGCAGGCTCATTTTGTAAATTTACTAAAATAGTTTAATTTGAAATATCACTGATATATCACTCTACTGTACTGTATATCAACTTACAGATCTGTTTTGCCCTGTCCATTGCTATGGTTGCAACGTCAACCAATGCAGTTTAGAGGAAGGGTCGGAAATTCGTTTTATAAACACTTTTTGTTATACTGGGTGAAACTCTCTTCACATCCTGATAGCAATCAATAAGAGAAGTGGTCTAAATATTAAAACATATATCTTCAGTGGAAGTCTCAGGACCAAAACATGTTCATCCAATCATTGTATTCGGTCCGAATGCAATGATATGATGTCCTACCTGCCTGTCAACATATGCATTTCCATACTTCTGCACACCCTGCTCGCGCCGACATCACACGTCATTAGCACGTTAAAGCTATGCTGATTTGTAGACCGTTACCGAGCGCCACAAACAAACAGCAGCAGCCTTTTACAGTTCCTCCTAAACCAAAACAACGAGCTTATGCTGCTTTCACACCATGTCGTAACTGTAATTACGAGATGGCAACCCGTGACGTCCTCAGACTGGGATTTTTCTGTTTCTATGTCAACACTATCAATGCAGAAATTAATCTGCAGCAGTCAAGTGGTACAAGTAAGAGCTCTGTAAGTAGTTTACGATGATTATTATTGTAATGTTATGTGGTTTGAGAAATTAGGTAATTTAACTTTGTCTCTCGTGACGCTTTGCAGACTCTGCCGTGTGCATTCATGTTTTAAAGGGGGCTTTTGGAGACGCTCTGAAGGGAGGGTGGGGTCTCATGTTTTAAGATTCAATATACCTACTGTATAAGATTCAATCCCGCATTTAAATACGGTTGTCACTCCAAGAACTCTGCAGTGTGTACTAAGCAGCTTGAAAAATAAAGCTTGAAAAAACAAAACCAAAGGTAATATGTACAGAAAGCAAGCAAATACATGTATAATTTATAAATAAAGTCTATATATAAAGGATCCAACTACCACAAATAATATTTACAACTGTTATTTATTCCCCTCAATGATACATTGACACATACACAAACACATTTGTTTTTATTAGTCTAAACATCTCATAGACTTCCATTGTTTTTATATCAGGTTAATGATAATTTTCAAACCTGACCCCTACCCTTAAACATAACCCTCACAGAAACCTCTGCAGATCACTAGATTTAAATACAAACATGATTTGGCCTATTTATAAGCCTTTGAATCAATAAATGGTTGTCATGATATTGCATTATCTAAGTGAGAACATCTGGCCCTCACAAATATAAACACACTCACACACCCCCACACATCTTGTGCCACAAAAACAACATGTCTGACTGTTACCTGCAGTGCCAGAAGCATGATTTGGATCCAGATATGTGGCTGGCAGCTACACAGGGAGAAACAGGACTTTCCATAGAGGCAGTAGTGTCCTTTCAGTGGACAGGAGAATGACAGCTTAGCCACACAGCCACGATGGGAGTCTGGAGTACAACACACACACAAGCACAGGAGCATGAATTGCTTATGAATTCCTTCATCAAAAATATAACCTACTTCCCAAAACCACATAATATCCTAAAATAAACTGCTCCATCTTGTAATACAATAGTGTATGGTATTAAAGTCCCTTGATTCTCCAGATGTGTTTCTGAAACAGCACTTATAGAATAACTGCTTTAGATCACATTGTCTTTTTTGACATGGCTCAAGCAGCACCAAAATTTTTATAAAATCGAAATTATATTTTGGGCTAAATGGTGGTGATGTTAATTCCTCTTATTGACTCAAACATTAATATACCAGTAGGAGGCAACCAGTGAATGTCTTCTTATGATTAAGTTATTGAATTCTTCACTCAACAGTTTTGTTCAATCATCATAATAATTTTATCCACAATAAAGCTGATCTAAAGCATAACTTGTCAAACTATACAAAAAGGGCAAAAATACTTAATTAATAATGAATACATTTGTGCTTAAAGTAAATTCTGAGTTTCAATAACTTCTTTATGTCCAGTAAAATGTATGTGTATAGCACTTTTTATAATACCCAATTTTTCCGTAACACTTTAGATTACAGCCCGGAAAGTACTGCGTAATTTAAGCAATTTTACAGCGTAACCTTCGGTGATTATAGTGTACCTACAACGTACTTACAATATAAGTATATGGGAACAATAATTTAAGTTTGGGGAATAAAGGGGTAACAACCAGGAGAATTAAAAAAAATATTTATACTGTAAGTATTATAGAACTAAGGGGTACTTATTCTACTATTATGATATAACAATCTTACATTTGGGATCAATTTAGCAAGAACATACACTGCGTACCTTTTTGAAATAATGGTGAACCAGTACATACTGTATAGGCTTTTTAAAAATTACAGGGTACATATCTATGCATTTATAAAGTAATATTTTTAACAAAAGTGCTCTGAAAACTAAAACAACTGCAACTTTTGCTAAAATATTGAGCAAAGATACTCTTGTTTCATGTAGTGGTGCTTGTTACCCCCTTGTTCCATGTAGTTACAGGGTAAGTACAATAAAAATGCATACACACAATCTTATATCACTGACTCGGAAACCTTTATTTATTATACAAGCACCACTTACCCTGTAACCCCATGAAACAAGATATATTTCCCAGTATTTAAAAAAAATTGCAATTGTCTTAGCTTTTCTTGCCTTGAAACATGTTAGCCCAAACTTAAACATCTGCACTTTTGCTATCAAAAAAAGAAAGAAAAAAAAAAGGTATAAATGCATAGATATGTACCGTGTAATTTTAAAAAAGCCTATACAGTATTTATTGCCTTGGTACACAATTATTACAAAAAGGTATGCAGTGTATGTTCTTGCTAAATTGCTCCCAAATGTAAGATTGTTGTATCATAATGGTAGAATAAGTACCCCTTAGTTCTATAATATTTACAGTATAAATATTTTTTTAGTTCTCCTGGTTGTTACCCCTTTATTCCCCAAACTTTACATATTGTTCCCTTACACTTACATGTAAGTATTTTATAGGTACACTATAATTACGGAAAGTTACTCTGTAAATTCCTCTTAATTACACAGTACTTTCCGGGCTGTAATCTAAAGCGTTACCCAATTTTCTTCAAAGCAGCTTTACAGAAAATGATGCTAATATTTATGGTATCTTAATATATTCACACAATTAGCAGATTAGAGCTGGGCGACAATACAGTTTACGTCGTTTTACATATTCATAAATAAAGCTAATTCTTCTGCTTAACAGACTCAAAAAACGTTCTCATGTAGCGAAGAGGCATGTTTGTTCAGTGGGTCCAACCATTGAAATGCTTCTTCACTGTCGAACTCGAGTGCTATAGTTGTGCGCTTCAAAAGGGAGACTAATTGCTAAAAGGACTAGAGTAAAAGACAAGAGATCTATCTACTGATGTCTGCCAATAATAGGACACTGTTCAACAAATCTTTCACAAAATCACTTTCTAACACCTTTCCACAAATGTCTATGGCATTAGCTGTTTTTCCATGATCTGGTAAGTATGACTGCACTGAATCCCTCACGCTGACACACATAAACGAACTCACATGTATCCCGCCAGTTCAGCAGGTCTCCGACTGATCGATTATCTTACTGTTTCTCAGTGGGAGAGCTGTTGAGTAATGTGAAGGTGAGGCAGAGACCCGGGGAGTGCAGGGGAGATGTTAAAATAGCTTTGCCAAGCAACCCTTTGTTCTCTCTGCCACCCACAGCTTAATTGTAGCGTATTACACTCAATGAACAGACAGCTGATAATTAGTGGTGTTTGAAAAGGCAAGCATCACTATTACTATTGTTCATACTCATGGATTTGAACAATGAATTGAACCTTATGAACTTCACTTCAGCGCATAACTCATCCAGCAATGTGCTAGTGATGATGATACATCAAATCAGCTTATTGAGGAGAGGTGTGCTATTACAGCAACTGGACTTATGAATTCCTGACGGGATTATTATGAAATTAATGTTTTAAAAACAACATGTTGAACATTAAAACATCAAATGATTGAAAAATAAAGAATTGATACTTTTTAGTAGGTGGCGGTAAGTCACTGTCTTAATAAGTGAGTCATTGAGTCAAACAGCTGATTCATTACTCATTCACTCATACGATTCATTCAAAAACGCAGATTCAGTTTTGTTTGGAACTATTTTCGTTTAGCCTGGGAAAACCCAGACAACTTCCGGCAAATTTGGATTTGCTCTGAAAGTTAGTCAGCTCATTCAAGCCCATTTCCAATCCGTCGAAATCGCGGCACCAATCAGAAACGTTGGGGCGGGCTTTACACGATGACGACAGCGCTGGGATTTTGAAGCAGATTTTGTAGCCTACATTACAAAGATGGATGCCGCCGTCGAACATCACTCGTTCGAATCAGCTATCGCGTCTGTTTTAAGCGATTTGAACGTTTCCTTTTTGTTAAAAACCGAGCAAAGAACAACACTCGGACGCTCTGCATACGTCATCTCCTTCATCGCTCTGATTGGTTTTAGGTCTATCTGCGACGTCCGTTGGTGACGCCCCTCTGGAAATGATTTGTCTATGACGCTTTGCCAGACCATAAAGTTACAACTGAGAATGGTCTGGTTTTAACCAGGCTAATTTTCGTTGGCAAAACATATGAAAACAGACAAAAGTGTGTCTAAAATGTAACTAACTTAATATTAACCTGTATAATAACATCAATATCACATTCGGAATCGTGCTCAGGAAAAACAGCACTCTTGATCATGTGATATTGCTTAAGAGTGCAGAGAGTTTTGCCAGGGCAAGGACAACTTTCTCTACGGAAAATGTTAGTTCTACATTATGGTCAATAACCAATGTCATAGCTAATATTATAAATCATGTTTTGACCATCGACTCAAACAATGGAACAGCTTCTATCGAGCAATTTAATGAAAATATTAGTGAAATTTGGGATTCAAATATAAATATAGGGTACAAAAACAATGTCATGTACTAAACTCTGCAATCTAATGAAAAAAATGAGCTCATATGTGGATCATGTGTATTTCAAACAAAATTTCTGGGCATGTGAAGAGCAGTATTTGGTGATAACATTATCATAACAGTGGGGAATCGACTAAAAAAGTTAGACCACTCAGCATGCAATCCCAGTGTGTAATTGGCGTTTACATTTCTAACATATCTAAAAATATGCCAGGAAAGTGTTATCTTCATGTTCTGCTAAACCAGCTAAAAACAAGAATTAGCACCTGACATGAAATTCAATCTTGAATAATCATTCACATCATTTTGCCTCCAATAATAAGTAATTTCTAAATGAGAGTGAGTTGTAGAAGAGAGTTGTCCTGCTGCACTACACTTGAATGTGAGGTATTTTTGAACATGTTACTGTGTGGATTGTTCTTAGATTTGACGGTTTACCTTCAATGACACAGTGCTCAGGTATGGGGATTAGTTTGATCATTTCGGCACAGAAGGTTTTGATTTCCTTCATGTTGTCTCTCAGGTGGATCCAGAGTCGATCTCCCTCCCGGGGGTCTCCAACCTCCACCTTTTGCCCCTCACTGTTTGGAGAGGTGTCGGGTTGATTTTTTGTGGGATCTTTGTGGTTCTCCTGCAGGGTTGAGGGGACAGGACCAGTCTCTGAGCTGGGACTGGCCTCACAGACATTGAGTTCTGTGCTCACATCCACCAACCCCTCTCCCTCTGGACTGCTGTCAGAGTTAATGGATTGTGTGCGTACAGCGTGAAGAGCCAGACTTTTTGACCTGAACATGAGAGAACAGCACAACTCAAAATACAAAATCTCAGTCTCACTTCATGTTTTTTAATCCTATGAGTTAAAAAGGACCATACTATAATAGACTATGTAGAACATATTTTTTTGCAGTATTATAGTATTTCCCTGAAGCCTACTTATGTCTTAGGGTGTGCTTACACTTGCATTTTGGTTCTCTTGGTTTTTTTGGTCCAAAAAAGAAAACACATTTAGGCCTGGTTCGCTTAGCGGCCACACTGTCATTTTTAACACCAAATTTATTTTTATTTATTTTTAAGCACCTTTTATTATGTATCCTTTGTGACGGAACTTACCGAACATCGAAAACAATGTTGTGTGCTGGGCTAAATGTGCTTGTTGTATGTGTATACATATGTTGTTATTTTTTACCAGATGAGAACTCACAAAGAGGTTCTAAAAAGTGTAAACAGTGCTAGGTATTCCTGTTTTGCACATATAAACGAAAATCTGCAGCAAGGAGACAATAATTCAGACGCCTGTACCAAACTGTGATGGGCAACGTAACTCCTATGAAGAGAAGAACCAGGTATGTTTGAGCATTCTGTCCTTTTTAGGGTCGCATCTTGTGACATCACATCCTGTTTTTGGTTCGTTTAGATCTTTGGTCCTTGCTGCATTCATATTTTAGTTTAATCGCATCAGAGTTTGTTTGGAAGCGTGCTGAGACCCCTGAAGAGGTGGGTCTCGGCCCGCTTGTTTGGTGCGCACCAGGGTTTCGAATGGCAGCGTTCACACTTATTCAAATGAACCGCACTAAAAGAGCAATCATACCAGAGTTTGTCTTAATCAAACCAAACCTGCCAATTGTAAACACACCTTAAATAAGATTTCCATGACCATTTTCCTGCCTTTTCCCTAGCTTTTATAATTAAATAGTTAGCTTTTTCTTCGGTACCTGTCAACATTAAATACATTTTTTTTTTATCCATCTGGAACTGCTCTGATCCTGAAAAGAGGCATTCAAGAACGGAGACATGTGATTAGAAGGGAGGTATTGAAAAGCAAGAGGGATTTGTTACATCAGCAAAAAAAGAAAGCTGATTCAAAGGAAAAACAAGTTGTTAAATTAGATTTTTTTTTTATGAAAACACTGCCAGACTTCATTTAAGAAAGTAAATATGGCCAATTTTGATTCTGATTAACTTTAAGGGTAAGTCTTCACACTTGTAGTTTGGTTCACTTGGTTCATTTGGTACCTAACACACCCTAAGACTTCTATATATAAACGATCTGATATTCTAATAATTAATTTGTAAACGAGTGTTGTTCACACAAAAAGGGTCTTCAAACTTTTTTGATGCCACGGGCCCCCAAATACAGTATTATCATCCCTCAAGTCAACAATACATTCTCATGTTTAAAATACACGACTATACAGTATAGGTGCAATAAGTAAAACCTTATCTGGGAAATATTTACTTTTATTAAGTTGACACTGTATTTCTTTCTACCCACATTTATAGTTAGATGTATAAAACTGAAGAGAAACATAAAGTTATGGCTGTCAATAGCATAAAATGTAATTAAGTTCATGACTTTCAACCCATCTTAAGAAAGCAGAATGTAACTGTAATAATATAAATTTCAATCATTTTGAACTTATATTTTCATTGTATTGCCCACCTGTTGAACCTCATCTCTCTGCGCTCGTCTCGCGCTGCCTGACCCAGACTGTGGCATCTCTGAGGACCAGGAGACGCGTCCTCTCTCTCAGACTCCACCTCCTCCTCATCTCCCATCTTCTGATCAAAAGCCTGGATCTTCACCTGGAGACGCTGGTTCTCAGCAAACATGTCAGAACTAGACTTGGCTTCACTCGGCCTGGACAAATCCTGCACCTTCTCCTCTCCTCTGATGCACAAAGATAAAGGCTGTGTTCAGAAAAGAACACTACTGCACTGCGCTTACTGTATACTGCACAGTATGTACAGTATACTTAAAAAAAAAACAGTATTTGAATTAGTATAATCTATGTAACAATCAATGTAGCAAATAGTAGATTGTCGTCACATGCTCATCCTGTTCTGTTCTGGCAAGGTACATTACAATCATGTAAAAATGGTTACTTTGCCTTTTTACTCAATATTGTGTAAAATCCCTTAACTTAAAAAATAAAAAAAAGTCAAGACAGACAAATTGCAGTCAATAGACTATTCCTTTGAAGATGAAGCTATGGCTTATTATATTGGAAATGGAATCTCACACAAGCCCCTTTCACACAGAGATTCCAGAAAATACACTGATAATGTGTCCCGGGATCATTTGGTTTTGGTTCATTCACACTGCCAGTGATTTTCTGGAATCTGTTTGTGCGTTCACACACATCCTGTAAAGATCCCATAAAGACACATGACATCAGGATGTGACGTGTTTGCATAAATTTTTTCATCCTTCCTTTGTTCCTTGACGAACACAGACTTTCTTCTTTTTAAGGTGCAACGTGAACGTTGATCTACATTTAAAACCCCCGGTAAAAGAGTCGCACGAAACTACGTCATTGCGACGACACACCCCTTACGGCATTGGTCCTGCCTTTTGTTCACACAGGGTGCGTTCCGAGACTGATCCCGGCAATGTTACTAGGACCACATCTCGCGATTGATCCCGGGAAGTGTTTGCGTTCACCCAGAAGGCACTCTAGCAATTCTATGGCAATTTTCTGGGATCAACGCTCTGCGTGAAAGGGGATACGGTATACTCTATTGGAACAAAAATGCACATCATCCTGGTATTTTAAACATACAGCAAAAAATGTACACAAACAATCTCAGAAAGAGGTTACTTAGAAATATAGCCCTTAAAAAATGTGACCAAAATGTGAACTAGTGTGCATTACATTTACTTGTAGTATACATTTAATTTAACACAGCTCAGTCTGATAAACAAGCCACAACTGAGTGTGTTTGAGTCTGAATCTAAATAGAGATCTCTTATTGACTTTTCTTGCTAGATTTAATTTTTCATTTTAATGTAGTCTAAACCCTGAGTGAATGCGGTTTAGTGTCATTAAACAAAATTATCAGACTAACGTCATTGAACAATCAGAATCAAGCATTCCAGAAAGCCATGTAATAATCATAATTTATTCCAAACCTGCACACTGAAATTGATAGGTAGGTATAAATAGTTAAACTAGACTAGACTAAGTTGCCCTTTCAGGACTAGTGTTAGAGACCTGAATACTAGGTTAGTTTGGCTAAGTGTAAAAAGTGGAATTAGTTATTGCATTGTTAACTTTGTTAGGAAAATTATTGTTACAAAAATGCCAGAAATACTATACAGCAGACTGTCTTTTTTTAGTGCTGTGCATCAATATTCCACTCGTCAGTCAACAGAGAGTCGCTTTTTGTTACCTCCGTGTCGAACTAACCTTATACAAAAAGACGGTGCTGTATAGAGCGATGGTGGCATGGAATTCTCTTCCGCAGTTTTTGATTTTGGGAATGAATGCAATACATTTTCGTAAAAGATTAAGACTTAATTTATTTACATTTGAATAATTGTTATTATTTTATGTTTTTTTGATATGAATGGTTGAAAAGAGGAAAAACATTGTGAAAATTATGAACCCTATAGTAGTATGGCTGTAACTGTGTATTGTGATAATGAATAATGTAGAGCTGTTGTTTTATTGTTTTTTAGTATGTTGTTGTATTGTAATGTATGAATGTGTACACTCCTTTTTTGTCTATATAATGTATGGTTTTATGTTATAAGAATATTTTTTCTTGTGTTGAAGTCTATAGACCCCAGGAAGAATAGCTACTGCTTTTGCAGCAGCTAATGGGGATCTTAATAAACTAAACTAAACTAAACTAAACTAAACTAGAAAGACACATATATGCAATAAAAACTACTTCTATAGTTCTAGTTGTAGTAAAGGTCATTTTTAGATAATTCAAGATTTTAAAATCCTTTCAAAAAGTAGATAAGCAAGAACACGGGGAGAAAGACGAGAAAAAGTAGAGAAAGGATTTTCTATCCTGTCCATTTAATTTACAAAATACCTTTATCCCATATTTCATTCTGTAAATGTATCTTTCTCGGTCATTAATCTTTCGCAGCTAATTTTTCCTCAAGAGAGCACATATGAAAAAGAGAAATGGACAGAATGCTTCAATCTGAAGTACAACTCTTTACCTCATCGTTCTTCTAGCAATGAAACTGCCAAAACGCTGATTATAAGAAGAATTTTGCAATGGCGAGTGTTGACAAGCAGACAAAGGTCTGTGGATTAAGGAGCTTTTAAACAGAAGTTACTCCATCATAATAAAATGTCAATTACAGCAATAAAACTAATCACCCGTGTGATTTCAAAAAACGAATTCTGGAACATGTCAAAGCTACTCAGGAAATCAAAGCATGTGTGTGTGTGTGTGTGTACCTGCTCAGTGTACTATCAGCTTCCAGCTTGCGTCCCAGCAGTCGAGCGATGGCGGTGAAGCTGTTGCTCATGCGGTAGATGTCTTTTCCTCCGCCGCCCAGGATGGAGGTGTAGCGATCGGTCAGGCAGCGGATTTCCAGCAGTAGTGTGTGATGGGCGCTGTGCTCCATACTCGCTAACAGAGACACCAGATACTGCAGCGCCCCGCGGGCCTGGACCTGCACATGAGAAGTACATGTAAAATGTATTGTAATTTTAAATAAAAAAATCCAAGTTGAGTGGTGGCAACCAAACAGTGTTCAATAAGACATATAATAATGGGTGGAAGAACTGTATATTTTGTTTATGAAATCAAAATGGACAATTCTTTTTTTTTTTTAATGGAATATTGCAGTATTTATTATAAATGATTTATCATTCTGTGCACAATCATTATTTTTTTTAATAATCATGTGCCCTCGTATTCCTTAATCAAAATCATCTCTTCTCTTCTCTGATGATGCGTTTACTGGCGTGAGGGCGGGACAACCTGTCACTCACATGAGATCACAGCAATAGCAAACCACAACCATCCAACGATACAATCAATACCCGGTGAACAAAAATCAAGTCCTGAACTTCATTGTTTCTTGTTCAAAAAGCTGTTTCACTTGAATGTACGTCACAAACTTCCATTTCATGCTGACTTTAAACATTGGTCTTTTATCCTATTGCTGTTGATGCTGTTTCACTTCACACCGTGCCTATGAATATTCTTTACTCGTGGTAAAATCACTGTAACATATGGCCTCCTGTGGCTTATTGCTGTTTGTAATTTGTAAACATTACATGATGCTTAATACTAGATGCAGTTGATGTACAGTCATTTAAAATGTAGCAGCACAACAGATATAAAACATTTATAATAATACGAATAATCATAGAAGAATTATAAAAAAAGAATTATTGAGCACAAAATCAGCATATTATAATGATTTCTAAAGGATTATTAATTTTGGACATTAACTAGTAAGCTGTTATCCTATTGTTGCTGATGTTGATCACTTATTGATGATATAATTAAGATAACCGATTTTTTTAACCATTTCAAAAAAGTACTATAGTAAAATGATACAGAGATCATACTGAATGATTACCAGGTATATCAGAGTAAACCATTCACCATTGTACATTTGAGATAAACAACAGATCTTTTAAAATAAAAAGTTGTATATAAAACAAGAAAACTGTAACAAAATGATTGGCCGCAATTCAGGACATGTAGCGCAATAAACAATATTTTAAAATATCAAGAAAGGTCCAGAAATAGAGTAAAATCACATCATGATGGATTTTTAAGAAACGTACAAAACAGGGACTACATTACGTCTTACACAATGGGTGTGACTCTGGCTGTGCCTGAAAGCATATCTAAACACTATTTTTCATTCCTATTTTAAACTAATATGTGGATCTGATTCAAAACATGTTTCCCCCCCAGTCAGAGTGGTGACTCAAAACAAAAACTAAATCAAACTGAAAGGGGGAGACAATAAATTTTCATATTGGCATCAGCAATTGAATTCCCATTTGAAAACATAAGATTTGTATAAAACAATGTAGTACAAATGTGTCAGAATCAGGATGTGAAAAGTCAAAAACAGCTTCTGATATTAATATACAGACTGATCTAGCTCCATTATGACAGAACTGTGGGTCTTAAGAAACAGTTGGTCCATTACACATTAGGGTAAACAAATCATTTAAAAAGATGTTTGGATCCATTAACAGTTTTTGAACATCTGCATTTGTAATAAAATGCTCTTAATGTACAGTGCCATTAGAAAAGAAATATTTTTTTAGCTCATTGGGCATGAACAAGCACAACAAATTCTGAATTAATTCTGTACGGAATGTGACAACAGATAAAGATTGGGCAACCAAAAATGAATGAATAAATAAATAAAACCAGTGTTTTTTTTAGTATCACTGAGATATTAGTATTGTCACGTTCAGTTTTGGTTTTTGTTTACTTTTCATGGACTTTAAGTTTGTTTCTCATTATGTCCCGTGTTCCCTTTCCACTGTCTTGGTACTAAGAATGCTTTCATTTGTCGTCATGGTTACTTATTGTTTCATTGATTTCATTCACCTGTTCCTTGTTTAGTTCATTCGTTTGCTTTGTATGTATTACCCTCAGTTCTGTCTGTTCATTGTCTGGTGTTGGTTGTGTATTGTGCATTTATTTCTTATATTTTGTTTATTTCTCACTCTTTTGTTTTGTTTAATAAAGTTACGCTTCTTATAGATTCGCTACGCCTGTGTCACGTTAAGTTTCATGTCTTTTATTTTGAAGTTTTGTTCCTGGTTTCTTGTCATGTGACTTCCTTGCGCTCATGTAAACATGTATTGTGCTTCCCTAGTCTTAAGTGTTTCATGTGTCATGTTTTTATTATTTCACTGGGTTCAGGTGTTTCTTGTTGTTTAGTCTTTGTGTATAAATAGCCCTAATGTACGGTGGCCGAGAGAGCTCAGTGCGCTGCAACTGAAGAAAATACTTGCCAATAGAAAAAACACCCGTAAATTAAGAAAACATCTTCATCAGTTTCACAACACACGTGTGCTCCAAATACTCACAACACAACCAAATACAGAAACGCGCAGCAAATAGCACAGACCACAACGGAAATGTTTCCAGGGGACCCCAATAAGTGACGAACCCAGCTGTGTACAGATCAACGGCTGTCCGAATTCACTCACTCCTTTTGATTCACTCCTTCAAGTGAACTGTATTAGTAGACAAATGTAGGGAATAGTGAATGAGGGTTTAGGGGGCGATTTCGTAATTTCCTCATTATTTTCACCTGGGATGTTCCCATGACAACGCAGCACGGTGTCCATAAGCTGAATAGCTGTTCTTAAGACAGAGATTTCTTATTATTGCTGTTAACATAACTGTTGCAAATAAATATATATTTTATAAAAAAAAAGTTTTTATAACATGCTTTATCTGTGTGTGAGTGTCTCAACTTTAAAACTTGCCTTCTCATCTTTGGACCCTGCATTACCTAACATTTCCTATGAAAATTATTTAAATATAACATGACAAAAATCTGTACAATGTAACTGATGTATAGATTAATATCTTACCCTCATGTTCTTTTTCTCTATCTTTTATTTTTATTTATTTATTTTTTCAGCTCTTTGTTAACTCTAATACATTTTGTATATTGTATACGTTTTGCATTAAAATAAATAAAAAGTATACATTGAGCAATAAGCATGTCCCAGCCAGGTACGTCACTTATTGGGGTCCTCTGGAAACATTTCCGTTGCGGTCTGTGCTATTTGCAGCGCGTTTCTGTATTTGCTTGTGTTGTGAGTATTTGTTGTAAAATTGATGAAGTTGTTCATGTTCAAGTTTAGTTTATCAAGTAAAGCCAAGTCTTTGTTCAATTTGTATCTGTTTACAATAGGATTTAAATAAACTTCACGATCTTTATACTTGCCTTCAGTGTACTTTGTTATAGAAAGCTAGACCTTCAACAAAGAACCAATAAGATCATGAAACAAGGGAACCAATCAGAACCTGACGCATATAGGGAAGCACAGGACATGGTCACATGAGGGCAAGGTCACATGACAAGAAACCAGGCACAAAACTTCTAAATAAAAGACATGAAACATGAACATGAAACAAAACCCACAACTAAACGTGACACCCTGGCTATTTTATTTATTTTATATCTTTTCAGTTTTTTATTTTTACTTTTAAAGTTTTAGTAATTTTTCAATCTCAATCAACTCTAAACTAGTGTGCAGTGAACTTGACTTGGTCAAAATAAAACCAGCTAAAACATCAACCAAACAATTCCCCTGCTCAATTCTCTCCACTAGATAATATCCTAACTTCTAAAAACATTTCAAGCTGCCGCTTTGGTGGTGGTGACTACAGTATATGACCGTACTGTATGATGTCAGGTTCGAGAGTTGGATTTTGCTGAATTAGGTAAGACAGTGGTAATTATTTATTATTCATGTTGGCTGCTATATGAACGGAAAACCAAAGCACGCCTATATGCTTGCTCTTGAGTCACTTAAATAATTATCAGTATGACGCAAGTTGGCCTGCTGGTATGTGATAGTGGCTGTCTAACTATATGTCAGAATGCCAAAATTGTTATGCAGTTAGATGTGCACACTGAATAAACTAACGTGCCAATAAAGGTGTTTACATGCAAAACAAAATCAGTGTAACCGGAAAAACATTAGGTGTTGATTGTTCTTTTTTTCTTCTTTTTCTTAAGTGTATGAGCTCTCCACAATAAAACAGTGCTGTTTTAATGGTGTGTTGTGGTCATTTAATCAGAAGTACAATTTTCCTTTAATTCCTTTATTCGTTGTTACTCATTTTACAAGCAAAAGGGACATTTACATAGAATTTATAGGCTATGTTCACACTGCGAGCCATTTATTGCTCAGATCCGATTTGTTTTGTATAGCTGTTCACATTGTTGTTTTAAATGTGGCCAATATCAGATTCCAGTACGAACAGATCATGGTCCTGGACTGACCCACATGCGCAAAAGAATGACAAAAGGACATCACGCAGCACGCTGTCATACGGAAGTACAGAGGTGGACAGAGTACACAGCTTCGTTACTTGAGTAAAGGTACAGATACCCCTTGCTAAATTTTACTCAAGTAAAAGTACTACAGTCAGATGTCTACTTAAGTAAAAGTACTGAAGTACTTGTTTTTAAAAGTACTTGAGTATCAAGAGTACAAGAGTAAATTGTCTAAATATTGCATTACTACTGCCACAGTGTCAAGTCATCTTCATTTATATAGCGCTTTTAACAATGTAGATTGTTTCAAAGCAGCTTTACAGAGATAAACATAATTTAAGGTAACAGAGATTGTTTTGGCTTTATAGCGATTCTTGAATAATGTTATTTCCAGCTAAAGTTAGTTTTGATTGATTCACTTCCGTCGAAATGATCATTTGTTATTAAATTAGGGGCGGCTAAGACGACGCCGTTCTCTCTAAACAGACTTTAAACTGAACCTGTGATAAACGCTGATGGCGTTCACATGCGCGTTAAGAATTGATTCTATAGTTATGTGTGTTCGAATATATGTGCGCAGGTTTTTAATTCCCTACAAACCATGCCTAAACAAACTACTTGTCTTTGCCTATAAATTTGATACAGAATTTTATTTTATCACTTCGGGGTAG